TGATACAATATTGGGGGTGACAGCTCAAATTCTAGCTACTGTACAAGGTCTTTACTAATGTAGCAGGAATTACCTCAATCTCCTCCAGCAAGAGTGTCATGGTCTTATGCCACACCTGGGGAGTAATTGCCTATTTTTCTTTTCGTTGTTCTATTTCTTTCCTCTTTTTTTTTTCTTTTGAGAAGGAATCTCACTTTGTCACCCTCAATAGAGTACTGTTACATTACAGCTCACAGCAACCTCAAACTCTTGGGCTCAAGCAATCCTCTTGAATCCTCAGTCTTCCAAGTAGCTGGGACTACAGGCGCCCACTACAATGCCCAGCTATTTTTAGAGACAGGATCTCACTCCTGCTCAGGCTGGTCTCAAATTCATGAGCTTGAGTGATCTACCTGCCTCAGCCTCCTAGAGTGCTAGGACTATAGGCATGAGCCACAGTACCTGGTCTGTTGTTTTATTTCTGTCCAGAGACAAGTGTCACACTGTGTTGCTCAGGCCGGCCTCAAAGTCCTGGCCTCACATGATCTTCCTGCCCCAGCCTCAGTTTCCTAAGTAGCTGGAACTACTGCACCCCCATGCCCAGTTTTGCCTATTATTCTTTTAACCATTTAGCTAGTATTCTGCATTTCTTCTCCAATGAAAAGATCTACCAAGGGCCAGGCATGGTGGCTCACGCCTGTAAACCCAGCACTTGGAAGGCCAAGGCGGGTAGATTGCCAGAGCTCACAGATTCAAGACCAGCCTGATCCAGAGCAAGACCCTGTCTCTATAAACTAGCCGGGCATCGTGGTGGGCGCCTATAGTCACAGCTAGTTGGGAGGCTGAGGCAAGAGGATCACTTGAACCCAAAGGTTTGAGGTTGCTGTGAGCTAAGACACCACAGCACTCTACTGAGGGGGACCAAGTGAGATTCTATCTTAAAAAAGAAAGAAAGAAAGAAAAGATCTCCCATTTCTTTCTCCTAATATTTTTGATTACAACATCTCATCTCTATAAATTTAGCTTTGAATGTAGTTCAGCTCTCTTGATTTTGTACTTCTTTACGGAGCGCTAAAAGGCACTAGTTGAAGTAAGCAACAAACAAAAACCTGTAAATACTAAATGTCTTGTTTTACTGTCTTCCTATATTTTATATAACTTCCTAATTTTTTCCCTAGAAGAACTGGCATTATCCCAGCCCTTTAGGAGACCACTTGAGATCAGGAGTTTGAGACCAGCCAGGGCAACATAAGGAGACCCTGTCTCTCCAAATAAAAAATTAATTTAAAAATTACCTGGGCATGGTGGCCCATGCTTCTAGTCCTAGCTACTTAGAACGCTGAGGCAGGGGGATCTCTTGAGCCCGGGAGTTTGAGGTTGTAGTGTGATAATGACACCACTATACTACAGCCCAAATGACAGAGTAAAACTCTGTCACAAAAAGGAAGGAAGGAGAGAGAAATGGCTAGTGTTTTTTTTTTGAATTTCAGATTGAGGGTACAAATGATTATGTTACATTGTTCGTGTTTGTTAGATGAAGTCCAAGTTGTAGTTGAGCACTTTACCTAAGAGATGTGGTAGATACCCCTACATTGTGCCCGTTAGGTGAGAGTGTGATTAGTGGTTTTATAAAATCAGAATATAGTGGCCAAGGGGAGAAAATACAACCGATTTTCCAAGTCATTGTAAGAGAAGCAAGAGATGTAGTCTATAGCGCCTCAGAATCTCTGCTTGTAAACATGCTAGTCTTTAGGCTTTCTATTCAACCTCAGGTGTGAAGACTGCTAGAGAGATGGGTGGAGG